CAATCCCTATCGTGGTCAAAACAACTGGAGACATAAAATGAACGTAAAAAGATTGCATAACCTAGCTCAATTCAATGGACCGAAAGTGAGGCAGAAAAAGGAATTACTGACAATAGATGCAAAGAAGCCCGTCCCAGAATCATAGTTAGTGTTATGCAGAGACCAAAAATTTTCCATGGGATTTTAAGTAACAACGTGCCTCAACAAAATATTTCGTTGACTTTTAAGAGCGAAAAACAACACATTGGAGTTACATTGACATTTCTGATTTCGGCKGTCCATCCCTTTTTGGCTCTGCAGTTCACGGAAGGCGTTACTTTGTGTTTTTATTTTAGTCGAGCTCGGCTGCTAAATTGGCTCAGAATGAATTAAAGTCTCCAATAGCATACTTTTAGTGGTTCGGCGCCTTGTCTCGGAAGGGTTGCGAGGTAGCGACTCAAATAATAATTTTAAGTGTAGGTCCTGGATTCTGCAGTTTACTCCCTRCTCATACTATGCTCTGTTTTTTTACCTCTTCTGCCTCCAAAATAGTGTCTCTGTCTCCTATTAAACCGAGAATCGGTCCTTAAAGTCATAATTTCTATCATCATCATGAGGACCTTTTCTCGTTCTCTTACCCTGTTTTGTTGTCTTACCTTTGTTCTTGAGAAATCTGAAGCTCATCCCATGGAAACTCTTGTACAAAGAAAGCCTCTGATAAATGMCCTATCTAAAACGAGTTGGAAAGTAAAATTTAGGACAGTTTTTAGCAAATGTTCAGTTGTTGGCATGAATTGTGCAAGATTTCATGCCATTTGCAGATAGAAACGAATAAAAATGCCTAACAGGTGTAAATATCGTTGAATCATCATCTTTCAAATTATAAAAGCTGCTGCAATTCATTAAACATCATTTTTAGCATGAAACGAAGCTCACGGCAAAAATAACGTTGAAGCGTACACGACACGGTAGGAGTGTCACACGCTACGATTTTTCGTGCAACTTGTCTCTCGAAGACAATATTTGCACGTTGTACCATATGCCCAACTATTGCTTGAGACAAGGAAAAGAACGAATGCGCACGCTTTTACGTACGCACGCTAGTGTTTCTTTCTCTAAAGCAATAGTTGGGCGTCCTATGCTTGCACAAGCGTTTCTCACGTTTGACATTCCCTCGCGCGACTAAAAATATTTATTTAGTATACAACAGTCAATTGAAAATCAAGCAACAAAGTATAGTGCACGCCAYATAAGTGTGAAACAATTCTTAACTAATTAGTGTCTGATAAGATTTAGTTATCAACTAAGTAAGAATTCATTAAGATTTTCTGTAGATTTTGTTTAATAATTATTTTCGAGCCATTATTTTGATTTTACACAGAATTTTATACTCGAATAGCGTCGAACTTAGGGTTAGATTCTCGACTCGATCACTTCAAAGTGATTCTTTTTTCTTTCCTTCTTTTTTTTACTGAATATACTTGTTCTTATTTTTCCTGTAGATATTTGTATTACATATTTTACACTCAAGATCGTACTTGAATAGCGGCGTTCAACTGACGATCTCGGGTTCGATTCTCGACTCGAGCAACTTCTACACATTTTTTCTTTCGTTCTTTAACTTTAAAATATACTCGTTCTTTTTTCTAACATCATTTTATGCAAAGCAAACTTCCATCTTATACATTCTCTGAGGATAATGCAAATGCTATCTGAATGCTAAATTTTCGCTGCAATGATAAAAATATTCAAAAAATGTTGTGAAAAGATCATACGCAAAATCTATCAAATCGATCGCGGCGCTGGTAAAAGTATATATTAGYRTAACCTGGACACAGTATGTTCCACGAAGTGGTTCTCGTCTTTTTTTAGTTGATAACTAAATCTTATTAGTTGTTGATTATTAAGAAATATTTCACGCTTTTGTGATGTSAATTTCTAAAGACTACCCTCTGTCGGTGATGCTCATCTCGGAAATGAGGGAGAACCTGTTTATTCAAAATGAACGACTCCAAAAATTGTGACCAAACCAAAGATAGCTACGAAGGAAAAAAAGGTCTCAAGTAATTAAGAACACATTTAGTAACAAAAACCAACGTCAAAATATGAGGTCATGAATGAGGATTGTATTAGCAAGATGGGGTTCTCTCAATTACTATATAGGTCTATAAGCGTAGCACACACGTTGTCGTCGTACGAGACAGTAGTACCAAAGTGATGACGTCACTGAACGAAACTTTTTTGGAGTTTTGAAAATTGGCCTCCAAATTCGCATCCGTTTTTATCCATTATTGCTAAATTTGGGTATCATTTATCGCGGAGATACAGTGATACAGGCGATGTTATGGTTGGGTGACCACTTACAAACGCTTGTAAATGAATCAGAGTTTAACAGTCCTTCGTTGAAACGTCAGTAACTTATTTCTCACCTACTTTTTACGGTGGAAAATTTATCTTATTTTGTAACTGTTTCTTTAGAAACACCGACAAAGCTCAAACTAGTTTACCGCTAGTTCCAATCATTTAAACCATAAAAGCGCTTAAATACTCCACTAWAAATGGAACTAGGACGCTGAAAAATTTGGAATACAGCTACTTTTTCTCATAAGTGTCTTTCAATCAATCCGAAAAAATTGAAATTTTTGTGACGTCACACTTCGGCACTCTACTCCGATTAATGATACTATTAGCTCACCTCAATACTGATGTTGTCAATATCACTGCAGATCTGTGAAAACACCTCATTTGCATTCTGTATAGACTAAAAAAACGTTCTTGATTGTCATTCCTTGATGATAAGAAAATGTCCTTTCTTATACAGAACCAGTTTTAAAATTAAATTAAAAAAAACATTATAGTATTAAAATAAAAGCATTTCACAAGTAAAAAAAGCAAATAAATAACTAGCTGTTTGAATAATATGAATACTTCTTTTTCAAGTGCAAAGCAGATAAYCCCTTTTCTAATTGAAGACACATTATCTTGCACTCAAAAACAAAAAAATAATAATAATGAGAAAAATAATTGTGTAATTGACCATCACAATTTGCTTTTTAACTGAGTTGAATGCAACCCTGTGCTACAATTTCAAAAACCTTAGGCCTTGTAATTCAGGTCAGTATTAATTCAAAGAAAAATGTAGCTTTTCATTGCTATTTTAAAAAGTGATGAAATATATTTTAGCTTTCTTTGTTTTTGAAAAGATTTTTATATAAGAGAATTTGTTATAATATAATGTTGTTTTCTGCCTTGAACTAAAAGATGGTCAAAGATATAAATCAATACATAACTGTCTTCCTGTTTATACTAAGAACAATAAGCATTATAGTTTTTGCATAGTCAATTGAAGGGGTGGATGCAAGAAAGGYGTAAGTGACAAATTAGGGTATTTTTGAAACTTTCGCAAAATGGAAAAAAACACATTCAATCATTTGTTTGTTCCCCCCAAAATTTAGCTTAGGGTAAGTTTCAGCCTTATGCACTAGCGTTATAGGGTTCCTATAACCTAAGACATGTCTAGGGCTCCTTGATTTAGGGTTAGGGTTAGAAGGGTTAGGGTTTAGGGTAGGGTAGGGTTAGGCTCTAAAATCTGAGTTTTGAATGCAAACAACCCCCCCCCCCTTCCCCCTTGAGTCTAAACTTTGAAGTTTGTATAAAATCACTTAAACAGCATGGATGACTAGAGCTGACTAAGCTACAGTTGAATATACCCTGAATCGTCATTTACGCCGTTCTCGCATCCGCCCCTTCATTTATAGCTGTCTTTGAGTTCCCCTCTGTTGACACACTCTCTGTTGGCACACTCTCTGTTGGCACACTCTCTGTTGG